TATTGTGTGGAAGCCATCAATTACTTTCAGTGCACTTATAGCTTTGATCTTTTCCTAATTATTATTATTAAGTTTTAAAGTGGTTGAATTTTGCGTAGAGTGTTTTTATACGTTATTTCTAATTTACCATTTATTTTAAGTTTTATTAAACTCTATTCATCGAGACCAATCTAATGAGCCCAAACACGATATTTCTGCTGTAAGTTTTCGAAGAGTATGTTCATCATCTGATAATACTGGTGCCAGTATGAAGTCAAGGTTAACAGATAACTAATTACTCTTATTTCGTCAAAATCTTTAGATTACGTATAATAAATTCATAATATCGCTACCTATTCGAATCAAAACAAGTATTTTAGGTACTTCATGTACTAGTATATAAATTCATCAACACACAAGTAAATGATTTTTTAAATATATTCAGAGCCAAAAAGTTTTTGTGCATTTAAAAAATTTTGCTGATACGGAGTCACTAATGCAGGAAATTGTTGAAAACATATATATCGAGTACAGGTACTATCGACGAATACTTTATCTCGGGAACACGCGGGACCGCGTAACGGCAACATGTTGCCGTTCCGCCACGATACCGTTATAGTGGTAGAAAGAGAGAGACAGTGGAACCAGCAAATGTATCTACGGGTCGTGGCTGGATCAACATAAATGTGCAAAAAAGTGCGCGTATATATATATATATATACACTTTTCTTTAATTCAAAGGAAATATAAATAATGAACGCATCACATTTAAAACAGTAATAAGTACGTAATATTATCACATTATCAAACAGTAAGTACGTAATATTATCACATGGTAACAGCACGTATTATGGCAAAAATAAACATCGGCTGATTTGAAAAGATTTATTATAGTAATAATAGTAATCTCAGCACAATTCACACAGCTTCATCTAGACCCAAGTTAAGCTAGCTGAACATTGTGTTATGGGTACCAGACAACTGATACAAATACAAAGATTTTTTTCGTAAATTAATATATATTATCTATACATAGACAACACCCAGACCGTTACAAACAATCATACTCATGAATACAAATGTTTGCAGCGTGCGAGGAATCGAACCCTCGACCACCAAGCAGGAATCAAAGCAGTGTGCTAGCTAAATCGCTAGACTACCGACAACTAGCTGTACCGCGTGGAATTTAACTTCTTATATTTTAGAAAAATAAAGTTAAATTCCACACGGACGAAATCCCGTGTACAGCTAGTCATCAATAAAAAACACGTAGGTATCTCTAATATATTATACAGTAGCTGTTCCCGCGACTTCGTCCACGTGGTTTTTAACTTTATTTTTCTAAAATAAAAGTAGCCTAAGTTACTAGGTAGTAGCCTTATTACATCAGCTACCTGCCAAAAAAAGTCCCGTCAAAATCGGTCCAGCCATTTCAGAGATTAGCCGGAACAAACAGACAGACGGACAAAAATTGTAAAATATGTTATTTTGGTGTATTATGTACCGTATTTATATTCATATGCAAGTAGTAAAAAACGGTTATTTCAATATTACAAACAACAGGCTTCAACATTCTCAAGTACCACAAAAAAGATGTTTTTATTAAAAACAAGCTGTTCCCGCGACTTCGTCCGCGTGGAATTAAACTTTATTTTTCTAAAATAAAAGTATCCTAAGTTACTCCTTATAAATCAGCTACCTGCCAAAAAGAAGTACCGTCAAAATCGGTCCAGCCATTTCAGAGATTAGCCGGAACAAACAGACCGACAGACAGACAGACTAAAATTATAAAAATTGTTATTTTGGTATATGTACCTTATATATATTCATATGCATGTAGTAAAAAACGGTTATTTCAATATTACAAACAGACACTCCAATTTTATTTGTATGTATAGATGTATAGATTATTATTTATTTATTTATTTATTCATCCAAAATAATACAAATTGTGTAGGATAACGTAATAGTAACATTACAGTAAAATTTTGTCAACAACATAATAGCAACTTAAATATTAAATCTCGGTATATCTATAGACTAGCTGGCCCCAGCGACTTCGTCCGCGTGAAATTTTATTTTATTTTTCTAAAATAACAGTAGCGTAAGTTACTCCTTATTACATCAGCTACTTGCCAAAAAAAGTCCCGTCAAAATCGGTCCAGCTATTTCAGAGATTAGCCGGAACAGACAGACAGACAGACAGACAAAACTTGTAAAATATGTTATTTTGGTGTATGTACCGGATTTATATTCATATGCAAGTAGTAAAAACGGTTATTTCAATATTACAAACAGACACTCCAATTTTATTTACATGTATAGATGTATAGATTAAAAAAAAAAGTAACAGTCATAAGGCTAGTCGTATGCCTAATATATATAATAATGTAATAAATTCATTTAAACAGAAATTGCGGCAACATTATTTAAATTTGTAACTTTTTTACTGTCCTTCTCCATTTTTCACATCTTTCTGTTATATCCCTATAGTTCTCTCTATATTTTCTGTTTTTCTTACTTTCAATTCGAGACTGTACTTATAATTTGATTATCGGGTCATTATGTATTTATTTATACATTTATGGGTTATATATTTATGTATGTATATTGTTATTTTTTTATAGAAATGTATATTTTGCTTTGTATTTATATATCTTTTTTTGACATTTCTTATTTATATTAGTGCACCGCCAATAATCTTTCGCTGCACCACTCATGGTTGCCTGGTAAATAACGCGGCAAGATATTAAGTCCGCCACATGTACAAATTTTTTTGTGCATTAAAGTTAAATAAATAAAAAAAATACAATACTGTTTAATGAAAATGCGTATTGTCTAGTGCTTTGAGATGTATCAAAATAAGGTCAACAAAAAAGTCCGTGATGGTATATGTCTATCTCTCAAGGATAACCAACAATAACCATTTTTTATCTTTTACATTTTACGGGAATTTTTTTTATCGTATGTTTCCCTTAAAATCATGTAAACTATGCTATTATGTCATAATCTAAAGAAATAATAATATTTTATAGTGAAATATCCACTATAAAATAGTAATGTAAGTAGCAATGTAATTCGTTACGCGCGAATCAGCTGTTATAAGGTCAAAGGTCGGTGCACCCCGCGTATTTGATAAATAGTGCTTCTCTGGATGTCTTTAAGAGAAAATGGCAGTATGTACGTGTATATGTACAAGTCCTTAAGTGTTAAGTTTTTCAAATGTACAATAAAGAATAAATATTTTTAAGTACAGTACTTATGTACATTAATATAATACCTACTTTTTACTTGTATCTATTGTCATCAAAATTAAATTATAAGTTCTTAACTTGACCACGACTATGTGACCCTCTCTTGGCGCCAAAACGAATGAAAAAATGAACAGCATACGACGACGACGCATACCTATAGAGTGGAGCAACTGCTTATTCAGTTTTATTCAACTATTTAGTCCCTCCACCGTTACAATGAATGGAGGCGGATATTACAATGTATGTAGCATTGCGAATATAAAATATCTAGATTAGGTATAATAAATTCATAATTGATAGACCGTTACGGTATCAGAGCCAAAAAGTCTTCTTTCTTTATTTATGTACTGTTAGATGCGACATCGACTTTGTTTTATACTACACTATGTAATGATTGATATACCTATGTAAAATAAATAAAATATCTGAGGTTTGGACAAAAATTCAAAAGGTACTTTATTTTGAAAAAGTATTTTGAAAATACCTATTTTGCATTTAGTATTTGAAATACAAAACTATTTTTGTTTTTAGAGTGACATTTCTATGAATTCACTGTCGATAGCGAGCGGTGCGATGGAAAAAGATAACCGTTTATAAAAATATAATAAATAGCGCTGGACAATTAACACAGACTGATACTGAACTGATATAAATAGATATTTTTATCTTGTAAATACATATATAATATACATATAAAACACCCAGACCGATGAAATTAATCGATGACCGATGAGTACATATGTTTGCACCGTGCGAGAAATCGAACCCGCGACCATCGGATGTAAAGCGGTGTGACCACCGAGGCAGTCGAAATATATAAATAATCTTATGAATTTAATTTATTCTAATTTGTATGTGTGCGCGGGGTGCGGTGTACGGTGCTCCCCCGTGCCTCCACCGTTGCTGGAGCTTGCATGTATGGAGCATTGCGAATATAAAATATCTAGATTAGTAAATTAATAAATTCATAATTGATAGACCGTTACGGTATCTATATATATTCGGATTAAAATAAGTATCGCAGTAAGGACCAGTATATAAAGTGATCAACACAATTAATTGATTTTTGAAATATATATACGGAGCCAAAAAAGTCTTTGTGTATTCAAAAAATATCTAATTTGTTTGTGTGCGCGGGGTGCGGTGTACGGTGCTCCCCCTGCAACGGTGGAGTTACTATGTATGGAGTATTGCGAATATAAAATATCTACATTAGTAAATTAATAAATTCATAATTGATAGACCGTTACGGTATCTATATATATTCGGATGAAAATAAGTATCGCAGTAAGGACGAGTATATAAAGTGATCAACATAATTAATTGATTTTTGAAATATATTCAGAGCCAAAAAGTCTTTGTGTATACCAAAAATTTAGCCGTTCGGAGCCAGTCATGCACGAATTATTAGTAAAAAATGTGTCGAGTATATCGTACTATCGACGAATATATATGGCCACATCGCAAAATAGAATGCGACGTTGCCATACCGCCTGAGATATACGCGATAGGAGTCAAGTTATTCAGTGCAAAAGGTGGAATCGGCAAGTGTTTAGGTTGTGGCGTGATCAACAAAGTGCCCAAAGAGGTGTTTATATATATATATATTTATATTATTTTTTGAATAAAAAAAATTGATAAATACAGTAGGAAAAAAAGCAGTGAAATAAATATAATATAATATAGTAATATTGATAAAAGAATCAGAATTGAGACTATCTATACTAACTACTACCGACTGATACGCCGAATACGTGTCTCTCGCAGAGACAATGGGATGAACCACTGTGCATTAAAAGTCAGCAAAATATTTTGAGTCATACCGGTATGCTTCTGGATAATTGTACCCTCACACTGGCGGTAGGTTTGCGGCTGGGTGCTAAACTAAATCAGCCTCATCGCTGTAACTGTGGTGCTACTGTTGATGAATTAGGACACCATGGTCTCTCTTGTATGAGAAGTGCTGGTCGAATACCTCGTCATGCCATGATCAACACTATTATACATAGAGCATTGGCGACGGCACAAATACCGGCAGTACTAGAGCCTAGTGGCATTGTCCGCGAAGACGGGAAACGGCCTGACGGTATGACCCTGGTCCCGTGGAAACTCGGAAAATGTTTAGTATGGGATGCCACGTGTGTGGATACATTGGCACCAAGTCATGTGTCTGGATCGTCCTCTCGTCCTGGCACGGCAGCAACACAGGCGGCAATTTTAAAAAGACGAAAATATACGAATCTGGAGGGTTCGTATTGGTTTTTACCATTTGCCGTGGAGACGTTGGGCCCATGGAGCCCGGAAGCCAAATTGTTTTTAACATATATTTCAGCGCGGCTCATTGAGGTTACTTGTGACCCGAGAGCTGGTAGCTATTTTGCCCAAAGGCTAAGTATGGCCATTCAAAGAGGCAACGCTGCCAGTATCTTGGGTACGCTGCCTCGATGTGCCGCGTTGGATTACAATGATTGTTTTTTGTAATTGTTTGTATTGAATTATGAAATTGATAGGCTGTTGAATAAATGTTAATATATAGAAAGTTAAAATTATACTCATGAATACTACTACCGTCGTTTTAGTAAAAATTGTTGTACTCTAAATTATATTTCCAAAAGTAACCTATAAGGGTTTATGTGAGTGTGACTTGACATATTACTCGTAACTTGTCAATTTCTGTTATACTAATCTACATATTTCGAATTATGCCCGTTTACTATCTTTATTGTTTTTAAAGATATCGTGACTCTTCTTGTATTATTCGAAAGAGAAAATTTTGCTTACTTATATGGAGATATAACCTAAATGCCCTATTTAATAGAGGCATATAATTAAATAATTAATACTAACTAATCTTCATTGTTGTAGGACTGTCGTGTGTGTCTAATATACATGATAATATTACTATTATTAATATCAATATTAACAATCTATTTGGCACTTTTATATAATTGTTAACTATCGAGTGCGGCACCATTAATTAAAAATGGTAAAGTCAATAATCATGTAAACTGAAACGGAACGTCAGAGGCCAAAGCCAAAGTAATCTATGTGACATTGACAAGTGGATGACGGATGATTGAACGGAAGCAGCGGCAGTTTTGGAGCGAAAGTTTATTATATTATTATAAAAACAAATAAGAGATAGGTAATTGTGAATATTGTAGGCATTGAGGTGTTTCTCTCCCTGACCAACCGGCATTACGCCTAAGTCGTCAGGATACTAGTGATTTTAAAAGTTCAGAAGCGGTACCAATCCCGCCAGAAATTCGACCGTAAGGTAATTCTGACTAGAAGTTGTGGTAAGTGAATTTACGTTAATAACACGCATACCATTAAACGCAGTATCTCACTTGTTTTATTGAACTTTTGAATTTGGATGAATTGCTTTCTACATATTAAATAGATTTAGTATGTACGAGTAGCACGATATTGAGGTATACAATATACCTAAGAAAGAAGTACTTATTATGAATACATTAAGTATAAAACAAAATGGATATCTAATTAGTTTAAAATATAGAGTAACTATTGTTATGTTATTAATGCCTATGATACGAGTATGATAGGATATCAACAGATTAGAAACAGTTACATTAACTATGTTGACATACAGGTTGAACATGAGAACACATATCATGTTATACATATAAACAGTGTAATGGTATTGCTGAGTTTGTTGCTAATTCACAGTAAATTAGTCAAACTTACTGTTCAGTTTTGTGTGTTTGTTCTACATGAATTGAATTGAAGAATTGTTATTATTCCTTTACATAGGTACACATATATGTTTGATGATCCCATTTCAGATAAATGACAACCACAGGCATAGTCCAGGTATATGTCTTGATGGTGGTTATATTCCCAAATTGAGATACTGTCATATATATATATTATGTTGGTTGATACTTTGATATGTGTTTATTAATGAATTAATAAAGCATATTAATATAGATAGACACAGTATATTGTTGACATAAACTGATACCAGCAACATAACATGTTATATTTCATAATATTAGATATTAAAGACATTTTAGATGCTATCTCATGATTAGCTGTGAAGGTCTCAGTGAAAAAAGTACTTAACTCTGATAGTACAATTATTATATTTATTTCTTGCTGTGTTTTGAATTTTATATATATAGCAATGGCTAACAATTGGTAGAAAACTCCAATGTTAGAAAAACTGAATAACTGTAAACTATTGACACAAACTGACAATTTGACAACAACGCACAGATTACGTTTATTGTTTATGTCGTGACGTTCAGCAACACTTAAAATTCAATAAATTATATACCCTAAATTATACTATTATAATACACCTTATTTATATATTAAGTCTGTAATCTAAAGAAAGCAAGATCCCCGTGTACCCCAAATAAGACTAATTATAAAACTTGACAACAAACCAACCAAATCAAAGAGTATCACATAAAATATATCGCACCAATAAATATGCCGGATATTCAGATATTTATAGGATGCTGTGAGATAACAACTTTCAATTCTGCCATGGAAGTTATCTTCTTGCGGTCTTTAGTAGGAAGAAGAATGACAATATTACCGTCAGCAGACCAACATTTCTTCAAGCCGAAGTGATTACGTGCCGCAACAAAAACACATTGCCTAGATTTTGTAAGGAACTCAGATATGGATATTTTTGAGCCCTTTAATATGGTTTTGGCATTCCATATGGTCGATCGACATTGCATTGTGGTGAACCTCACAAGAATAGGTCGAGCAGATTCCTTTTTAGCCCCCAATCGGTGACAGGATTCTATGGCTTCCGGCTCAATACTGTTCAACTTCATTTTGACGCGTAATATCTCCAAAAGTTTTTTAGAAGTTTCCTCTCCAGAAGTCTCTTGAACCCCATGGAAAAGTAACACCTTTCTGCGTGTGTGGGTATCAAAACGGTCCTGTGCAAGTTGTAGAATCTCCACCTGTGACTTGATTAAGCCGAAACACTTCCAGACTAATGCCTTGAATGAAGCATAGTCGGCAGATAGGCCTTTTACTGTGGTACCTGAAGATACGGGAGCTGGTTGCTGCATGCCCTTTTCGAACTCCTCCATTCGGCTGCTAAACATTGACGACAGATCCTCCATATTTTTCAAAAGTTGCTCAGCAGTGGTATCCATTGCAGTAAGTGGTGAAAATTTAGTGAGAGAGTGTGTAAAAATAGTCAACCAAATGCAGATCAGATAAAATTTAATACATAAGATTATTTGTATATTTATAAACAATTAAAAACTAGAGCACAACAATATAGGACTTTCTTTATCTGTGTCTACCCACCGAAAAATCTGTAATACTTTAAGGAACTATTATTATTAATAGTTCCTTAAAGTATTAATTAGTATGAAATCCAATTGAGATCTATTAGGATTCTCAAGGTTATCATAATCATATGATATTGATTATTAATGTGTTGAAATAGCACCTAGAGATTATATTGGTATTATATATTATATGTATGCTCATATTGAATGTATGTTTGAGCAATTGGTTCACTTCTTTGATGCTTCTCTTGAAATTCATTAGAATGGCCCTTAGCATACTATTATGATAAGCCATTGTTGATCAATAAAGGTAAAGGTCCTGTGCAGGTACCTGTAGCTATGTACATTTGTCATTTGAGACAAAGTCTAGTAAGTGATTGTTGGAATTTATAAGCACCACATTAATATGTGACATGTTAGAAAGTGATAGATTACAGGTAAGACTATTCTTACATGGTTCAGTTTTGTAATTTATGATGTTGTCTTTTAACCTAAAGAAAGGCTTTTGGTAATGCCAGAAATGGATGTTGTTGGGTCTTGATTGTACAAAAGACCTGTTGACTTTAGTTTAGTTTTGTAATTTATGAAGTTGTCTTTTAACCTAAAGAAAAGCTTTTGGTAAAGCCAGAAATGAATTTATTTGTGTCTTGATTCTACAAGAAACATGTTGAACTTTATAAACAATACTTGAGCAACAACCTTGTCTTTAAATTTACTATTAGTGTTATGAATATGAATAAAAGTTTTTGGAAAGTTAATATTTGTGTACATACAGAATGTTTGGATATATATATTGAGTCGCAACAGTGAGAGTATTTGCCTTTTGATGAGTTATAACGCTCCATACAGTAAATTGCACAAAATGTCATGATTTTATAATATGAATATGTCAACATAAGACAATTGTTATCACAATAACGAAAATAGACTATTGTAATATATTGCAATGTATTGCTATATTGTCCAATCTTGTGTACTACATATGCTAATGAACTGAAGATTTGCTGCAGGGATCTGAGCTTAAGTTATCCATTGAGTTTTATTATTTAGTGTCATTTGTAGAATGACAGCACTAAGAAACTATAAAGTGGACAGATTCATTGTTAAATCTGTATTGGAATTGAAATGTGAACCAAGGAGGAAATCATAATTGTTTAAATGTATTATATATTTGTGAGGTACAGATAATAAAGAAAAAAAAAACAAATAGAATATATTATTGAATTTTAATATAAATAAATGTATATCAGAAGATGATAATAACTGATTTAAAGTATTCATGAGTTAATAATGAACTCATCTTGTAGTTAGCACATGGATTGTGTCAAACAGTGTGGTCTAGAATTGTGAAATTTGGATAATAAACTTTATAATTCAGATATTATGGCAGGAAAATGGAAATAAATGGGTGCATAGCACTCTTTTGTTGTATATAGGTACGGACAGATGGGAGAGAATTAAGTGAATAGGTACATGTAAACTGTGATATGATGAAATAGAGAAGAAAGATTGATAAAAAAATTGGATAGTATTGTTAAATGGTTTATGTAACATACCTTTTATGTATTTGTATACTAATAAAATATTTTATGATTTGACTAATGAAGTTTCTGTATATTAATTAGTTATTATTAAATAGTCTCTGTGGGAGACAATGTTAAGATATTCAAAGTACATAAGCTTTAAAATTATTATAGAGGAAAATTATGATACACAGACAGACAAGATTGTTAGGAAAGTAAAGAGATATGGATATTCTAGAAAACTTTGCTGATGACCTTGGTAATGTAGCTATTAATAGGCTGCATAACATTCCATGCATGGAAATTCGTTCCCATTCTATACAACCGTTATATATTTATGAGAATTCCTGATTGTTGGTGTTTTATGCTATGCCTTTATAAGCATGTGGTTTGTTTTATTTAATATAACTTTGTTACCAAAGAGGATGAGACTGAAGTTAGTCGGTTTTATGAAGATAGCACTCCTATACTGTGCCAAGCTTCCAATTATCTTCTGTGAATCTACTGTACTGTAGAGGACAGTGCATGGCGATTTCGGTGCAGCTATGACAGAAATATATAAGAAAATGGCAGAGACGACAGACAAAAGAAAAGTAGAACAACAGAAAAAAAGATAAGCAGATGACATAAGAAAAAAAGAAACAGCAGGAAAAGACTGGATGCAAACTTCCATAGATAGAGAGGGTTGACAGCAGATGGAGGAGGCTTTTGCCCGAGGGAGCCATATAATAAGAAAAAATGCTTGTAAAATATTATCGGAGGATGTTAAAGCAATAATAAAATAAGAAAATGTGCAACACTTGCTTAATACTGACATGTGACGTGGTAGCTTTTATTGTGGCACGTGTTGAGTTATGAAGTGAAACAATCAAGGGTTCGCTTTCGTAATCAGGGGTATTCAGGTTTAGAATTGATTGTTTTGACGGTCGTGGATATCAGTACAGGGAGTCTGAGCCCAGAGAAACTGGGAACATGGGTTGGAAAGAGAGAGAGA